TTTCTCTTCTTCCAATCACAGACTTTAAATTAAGAAAGTCAAAAGGTACCAAGTTTATATGTGTTTCTCACAAAACAAGTGATGTCACCTGACTTTCGTTTTCCACAAAAAATTCGTAGCTATGTTGCCACTTATGTTATTGGCAGAAATTAAAAACCTACTTTCCAATATATGAATCTCCTAAAAATTTTGACGCTAATAACGTTTCTTTCTCACTAAGTTTTGTTTGCGATCTTATGTTTTTCTAACATCACATCCATTTGTCAAACAGATTGTTAGAATTTCAAGTCAGTTTCAAGTTAACCTGATAAAAAATAGGGTTGGTCCCACTCCCCTGCTTGGGTTTTTGTTGAAAACGTTTAACAGCGACAAAGTTGAATTCAATTAAATTCATTAAAATGAAGTGGACGACTTTGGTGTGCTTTTTTTTTTACGTATCATTACGTTTTAGTTCTTTGACAATTAAGAGAATTTGATTTAACCACCCATATTTTCTCCCCAGGTCCAAGAAAAAAACACCTTACACCCAGCAATTTTCCAAAATGTACAGGTCATTTATATGTGCTCACTCCCCAATTTGTATTTTGGCGGAAAATTTGAATGCGGTTAAAACGTTCTCAGATTCTTTAAAATGTCAAAAAACTTGAATGTAGTGATACGTAAACTCAAAGTGACCCGTTTAATAATTTAGTTAATTTCGTTAAATTAAACCTTACCGCAGTCAACCATATTGAACAAACAACCCAAGCAGGGCAGTGTAATGAATCTTATTTTTATTAAGTAGACAAATAGAAATGATTTGAGCTTAAAAAAAAATGACATTGTGTGTTGGGTGACATCTCTTTTGAGAGCTTATTTCGTTCTACACATGATATCAAAATTTAAAAAGAATTGATCGATGAAATGAAAATAAATAGTTTTTTACGTTTTTGACAAAATCAGTAAATTAATTAGACGACCTTATTATCTTTAAAATGGGTTTCTATACATTTTTATACTTAAAATTTTTCATCAGGTGATAACTGATAACACACATAAGATATTTCAAAGTGACGGTTTTGTTTGTTTTTTACATACCTATATGTACTTATGATTTATTGCAAGTTGTTAGGATAACAACTGTAGGAAATCCGACCTGAATAAGTTTTTTTGAAAAAGGAAGTGTAGGTATACTCAGAACGTTACTTTAGTATCTATTAAAATGTTATTGTCTTACAAAGTTAAAGTCCGCAATAATTTTGTAAATAGATCCTATACCACTAGTAGATAGAATCCTTGTTTGGTAGGCGTTTTTAAAATGTTTATTTCACTACCAAAAAAAAAAGAAAATTGCAAGAGCAGTAGGTCACAGTCAGGAAATCTTGGACCTCAATGTCATTATTATAACAAGTATTGAAACCTTATTTTTTACTTTTGTCATTTTTGACACTGCGGCATGCAAACATTAAAATCTTTTATAGTTCAAACGTCAAAGTGACTATAAGGCATAGACTACAGGGTCATCAAAATTGATTGAGAGAGTTGGTAAACCTGAACTTGAATAATTTGGTTTATTAAGTTGTATAAAAATATTAGCTGCTAAATTTGAAGTTTCAAGTTTCAAATTTCAAAACTCAGACGCGTCTTTTTTCGTTTTTTTTTGGTAAAAAAAATTAGTTGTCAGATTTGAAGTTTCGAATTTTAGATTTGTTCGATTGCGTTTCCTAATATGTGAGTAGCAATAAGTTATAGGGTGCGCATCGACCAAAGCGATTCGTACAAACGTTAAAACCGTTCGCAACTTTGCACTGAATTCATTGCCACATAACCTTAAACAAATCTGTCATAAGGTTGACAAACTTCACGACAAAAACAGGGAGTACCAACACTCTCACTCAATTTTGATGACTCTGTACTACTGTATTTTAAAAATAACAGAAAAATGACGTTTAAGTTTTTCGAACCCCGATTGTACCCATGTGTGTACTAAAACAGAAACAGAGTGTGATGATATTTTGCTGTTTTCGTTATTTCTTTTCTGTGGATCTCAATTTTCTCGACGCCTATATTTTCACCGAATGCTAACGAGTCATCAGAAATTCTACTAACATACCCTTCATAATTAATTTATAAAATTTTAGTGGCTACAAAAATAACGTTCTGAGTATATACAACGTTTAGAATTTTTTTCATGAAGAGTCCCAAATTAATTTATGAGCACATATGATTTAATTAACATAATATTTTGTTTCCTGTTTTGTCAACTTACAGGACATAAGAATTGTTGCAGTATCGACTGTGTTTCTGTTTCTGAAGACAAAAAAAAAAAAAAAAAAAAATTAAGCAAAATTTTGAAGATAATGTGTTATTTTTTAAAAAGTAGTTAAATTAGTGTTAATTATAGTAGTTAATGACCACGGTGTATAATAAGTTAGGTGTTCCGACGAGCGCGTGAAACGTGTCCCCAACTAGTCACAGATTTGGAGTGAGAGAAACAGAAGAGGGCGGCCATCATTTAATCGCACTGACGGGAAAGAGACGGGAGAAGTATTTGTCGGAATTAAAGCCATTTAGGTCAAAAAATCATCAAAATTAATTATCCGTTGTATTAAAATAAAAACTTTAAACATTGTTAAAATACCTAATAATTTATTTAAAAAGATGAATGTAAACTCGTTGTTAAAGATAGTTCTTTTCGCCTTCACATATTATATTAGTTTCACTCACTTCTGTTCGTTTCACAAGGCAACTAAAAAATATCCATTAACCATTATCTGCTTTACTGTTTGAGAAATAAAAATTTACCATTATTCCGTAGTCTACAGTCGAGACTCTTTTCTTTTTTCTGCACATGCCTTGGTTGTTTTCTCTTGTTCGTGTTTATAAAATTGTTTAATTAGCATAACTGTGTAAAAATATATTGCCTTTGAAAATATTTCCATTCTATGCTCTTCACAATAAAAAGGAAAGTAAATAGTCATAAAAATTTTTGTTGCGAATAGCTCTTCAATTGTTGCATCGAATACATCCACAAAATTGATATATTTCATAAATATCCCTTCCACCTATCGGAACATATTAAACATTAACAAATCTGGATGGTTTAACCACCCCCTGGATTTTGTACTAGTAAATTCAGATGTATATACTAGAACATGGATCTTCTTTGTTATATAACTGTTCACGGCAAATATTACATTTTGAAGTATTGTACAATTTTTTTGCCACAAATCCAGCTAAGTAATAAATGATGTTGTCAACAATTTTAGTTATAGTGACATCTTCAAATAGTTGTTCGCCTAATTCGTTAATCGGTGAAAATGTATCTAAGATATATTCAATTTTCCTTTTTATTTTCTCAACATGATTTTTTCCGCATTCTGGTATTTGTTTCAAAAATATTTTTGAAGTCATTAAATGATAACGAATGATTGCATTATTGTTTTCCTGCATCTGTGTGCAATTGCCAAGTTTCGGAGGTTTTAATAATTTATAAACCGATAACATTCGGTATAGCTGCAAAAAAGTTATAAATGAGGGATGTCCATTGGCACAACCTGTTTGTCGAATTGTGCCGAGAAATCTCTGCAAAAAATATAGTTTATGTGGAATACAGAAAAAATACATATCGCATTCAAAAACCCTCTGAAAATAAACATAACACATAACCGATAAAAAGGGAGTAATTGTTTTAAGTAAAAATAAAATTCAACATAAAATGCCTACTATTACTATAGCGACGACCAGTATTTTTTAGTGCAAAGTGTTGTTCAAAAGCAGCTCATTACTGCAATAAAAGAGCCATTCCAGTAAACACTGTTTCTACCCATTTTTATTGATAAATCAAAAAACAAGTAAAAAATCGCAGAGAAAACCTAGCAAAATCTGTCACACCTACAGAGGGAAAAAGCCCGCCAAACGCTGCTGAACAGATCTGAGTGAGAGGTTACAGGCCGCCGCTGTCTGTCTCTCTCGACCGCTCATCGTGACTAAACCGGCGTCAACTCGATGTACGGTGAATACGCTTCGTCGTAACACCTAACTTATTATACACCGTGTTAATGACTTTAAAGCATGACATAATTCTAAAAATGTAATAATTTTTTTAACAAATAAACTTGTATTAAATTAAAATTATGCAGTGCAATCTGCCCCTTTAATGATATTGCCGTCAGTACCTACCATATACGACGATATAAATGTATATGGTCTGAGATGAAGCTAAGCATAATTTACAGTAATCCGCAGAATCGTGTCACAGAATCAGGATATGCTATTTATCAGGTGAAACCAAAATATGGCGCATTTTATTACACTCTACCAGATGACTATCGACTGTTCCAAAAAATGATGTACATACACAAATCCTGTACCACTGAAATTTTCATTAATTTAAATGAAACTAAGTGGTATACGTACCACTATCAAAAACGGTGCACGATATAAAATATAAGTTCAGGTTGAAAGCGAATAGTAACAAATTGACAGTACTAGCAGATGTAGACTTGCTCAATATACAGGTGATAGAAAATTCAATGCTGGAAATAGCTCCTGGGTCATTTCTTGTTTTGAGTTATTGATTGCGTAACAATATTTGGTTCAAATATTTAACGTAATGTATTTCAGCTTTTTTTACTTAACTCAAGAAGGTTAATTTACCTAAATAGTGGCTAATTTGTTGATATTTGTTTGTTCGTTTATTATTCTATGATATAAAACTTTTTTTGCGACCTTTTGTAAAAGAAGTTGTGTTGTCAAAACCGACTCTGTTGTTATTGAAAACATTTATATTTCCTGTTGTATCACATTTTTAATAAATATACTGTGACATTGTGCCTTCAAAAAAATCAGTCTAATGCAAAATAAATCCAGTTTAAATTCAAAAACGCGTTTTTAACGAGTTTTTTTATACACATAGATACTATATGAAAAATCTTAAAAATATAAACATTGGTAAAAATTCAGAAAATTAAAAAATATCTTTCACATTTTTGTAAATAAAACAGATGTATGAAACTTACCAACAGGATCTCCCTCGACGGCAAACCTCTCGAAATTGAGCATGATTTTATAGCCAGCCCTGACGCTGACGTACCAGTTGCAGCTCTTCGACGACAAGCCTTTCGTCGGCCCATCGTAGTCCGCCGGAAACTTTGGACTCGTGATAACCCCCGAGTCTAAATTGCTCACGTTTCCCCCGCAATCGCCGAAAATGGATTTCGCTGTTTCGAAACTATACCGCGCCTTGAATCCACTATAAACACCTTCAGAGTCCGCATGAAGAATGATCTTGAGACCCACGGCGCCGCGGTTTGACTCGATTGGACCAGGAGCTGTCATACCGCAATACCGTCCTACGATTTTTTCCGTGCCGTCTCGGTAAATGTTGTACACTTCTAACCAGTCTTCTTGGCATACGTGTGCTCTGCGAAAAGTGAAGGGTGAGTGGCGTGTACAAGTGCTCTGGTGACTCTTACCCATAGGAGCCAGTCGTTGAATTCGCAGAGTCGGCACGGACTTTGAAATTATCAAAAACTAGAGTCACCTGTTCGTTGTTGGTCCCCAAGAACGAATAGGTGCAGTTGGTGTCACTGGGGTAATTGGAGGGGTATCTGGGAGAGTTAAACTCACCCTTTTTCTTGCTAACGCTTCGGTATGTGAACGTGCAGCTGCCGTCGGGCGCAGCCGTACCAGGAATTCGATATTCTGCAAATGCACATTTGGAAGAAAACTAATATTTTTTGAAGAAAGCTTCATTTGTCAATGTTTTTCAGTTTCGAATGGCATAGTAAGATTGGAATAAGAATATACTTAGAATCAGTCATGATAGTACCAAGAGAGTTTTTCCTCAAACCTATATTGTATAGATTCTATGCAACACAGTCTTGGGATTTCGTAAACCACAAGAGCTATGAATGTTTAAAATGTTGTAGAGTACGAATCGCCATACAATAGTCGTGAGTAAAACGACAATCTTCTCCGTACTAAATCTTTAATTAATCGTATATAAATAATATATTTATTTTAAGTCAAAACATGCATATTATTTGAAATATAAATATGTCAAGCTTTTTGAAACAAAAAAAAAACAAAGTCATAAATGGATCAGATGTTATTTAATTATTTATTCTGACAGGTTGTGTAAGTATATTGGAACTCCTCGAGATTGTCAAGGATTTGGAAAAATTTTGATAAAAAGTTATTCTTTAGTAAACATATCCATAGCTGTTACTACTTTTAAAGCCTTGGGTTTTGTTCTGCGAACTGGTTGCATAACAAAACTACAAAAACATTACTCCGTTTTTGTTTTACATTTATGAGGACGAAAGTAGAATATGTACATCTTATATGGGTATCAGAATAGAATCAATATAGCAGAATTATCGAAAAAGTTCAAAGGAAACTGTTGAAATTTTTATATTTACGTACCTTTGGGTTATAAGTCGAAAGATGTTTTTCTCAAAAAAAAAAAATTAAACATCATTACCCTAAATTATTACTTTAGATGAAGGACATTTATACTCTTCCCTTTCACATTAACACAAAACTATAAACGGAAGTATTGATTGTAGTGAATTAATAAATCAATTAAATTTTCATGTTCCTCGTCTGCAATATCGTTGTCGTAATTGCTTCTATATGGATAATGCTGCAAAAACTAATCTCAAGCTGATTTTTCCTCTGCATAGTAATTATATGATAAATTTCATACTTTATGTTGTAGCCGGCAAAGAATTACGAAGTGTAGATTATCACTCATTTGTGAACTAAATTTTGTTGAATATGCAACAAACAGTTACGTATAGTTATACTGTTGGAGTTTTTTGTAAAAAGAAAAACATTTTCATATTATTCGTATACCTTTACTTTAATAAATAAACAGTGCAGGAGCTTTCTGTAATGCTCAAATACTTACCAGTCTCAAAAGTATAATTTGCTTTAAAACCTCGACCCATGATTTCACCGCTGCTGAAGACCATAACGAGTCGAGGACCATCCGATACCACTACTGAGGGCTTGCTTTCGTCACCGCACATTTCGTAGTCGAACTTATCGTACGAATCCGTCGTTTCTTGGCCCTTTAGATATATTTTAAGGTAACCGTCGGAACAACTAGAATAGAAAAAAGATTTATTTTAAAATTTGCTTTATTCGAGCGTGGTTTATACAGCTTTGGAGAAAAGAAGAAAAATTCATTTGTTTTATTTTTTTGCACTTTAATTAATTATATTAACCATAAGAAAGTTAACTGCGTTCACAGTACAAATAATGATAAACAGAATTGTCATAACAGGACACAATCTAATCGTAATATGTAATTTAACTGTGAAAAGTTGTTTATCGAGTCCTGACAGAAGTGAAATAAAATAGCACATTTTATATAGGATGGTATTACCACACTAGTACAAGTAGTTAACATTGTAGAATGGTTCTTCAAGTTTTCAGACTTGGGTTTTTTTTTAAATAACCGACAATAATGAACAAAAATTAAGATTTATTTTCTTTTTAGTAAGTTGAAAATCATATCGGTTCTCCTGTTTCACTTATTACGATTTGTATATTACCCACTTCTTTAAATTTACTGCATAAAAATATAGTAAACTTGGAGTATATAGTAATAGTATGTACTAACACTGATTTCATGATTTCGAAATTTTGATTATTTTTTTATACCCGGTTTTATTCTATTGTTCTATAAGCGAGTTGCTTTGTAAATACAACAATATCGACATCTTTGTAATATAGGATGTGTAGTGGTTTCGTTTTGAATGTAGAAAATCGCTGCCTCGATTTAGGGCGTCTCTTTTTTATCCTCCGACCCGAAAAGAGAAGCGCTGTAAGTTAGACGCCTTTGTCTATCTGTATGCGTGTCTGTTTTATAAGTTTGAAGTTTTGGTCTGTCTGTCTGTCCGTGACATCGTAACACCTAAACGGGGATTTTAGTGTGGTTTTTGTTTTTTTTTTGTTTGAAAACTGATTTAATCAGGGAGGCTGTTAGCTACGTTTAATGATAATCACTCATTAGTCAGCACATAACACAGCTGGTGTAGGATTGTAGGAATCACCTCAGTGAGCGATAGCGTATCGACCGTCGCAGTGAATCTTAACAAATTTCAGACGTTTCAAGTGTTCTTTTTTTGTGTAGGGGTTTTTCAGTATTAACATTTGTTTATTATTTCATTCACCAAAAAATACTAAATAAATTTGGTTAAAAAAATTGATCTAAAGCCCTATAGGTAGAATTACCCTTGACCCTTAGGTATAATCGAACAAATCCAGTTTTTTCGAAAAATTATAAAATTTGAATTTGCTTAATTTACTTATTTTATGATAACCCCTATAAATAAAAACATAAATAATGCAAGCCAGAGTGAAAAATAAAATGGTCATAGGTTATATAGACAAAACTTTCCTCGCCCTTGAAGTAAAATCGAACAAATACAGCTTCCTTGATTAATTAAAAAATCTAAATTTTGCGAATTTAATTTTTTTCTGATAGCCCCTGTAACTTACAATAAAGCTCTATGTGGATCGTTAAACTACAGGTAAAGAAGCATGTTATGCGTATATTTCAAGTAAGATTTTCATAACAGAAATTGATGTCATCAACATTTTAACAATTTGAACACTGTATTCTCAAATTTTGTCGATAATAACTGAACCGTTCTTGATTTGAACAACAAAAAATCCTAGAGGTCGTCTGTGAAGTTGACGCATTATTCTCATTACTACCACTGTGGTAATGGAAGATCGTATTATGTGTCTAAAGAACAAAACGAATTAAAAAATAAAAAAATAATCAATAACAAACAAATTCATAAATCATAATGTTATGAAACGTCGAGATATTATACTTTCTTTGGTTACGCTCGAACAGTAAAATGAATTGGTTGTGCTCCAGACATGATGGAAGTTCCGTTTTCATTAATTTTTCAATTTTTTCTTGTGTAATCAGGCCTTCCAATCTTTTTAATTAGTTTTTAGTTGATCCTAACTATTATCACTTTTTGGTACTCTTATAGACGTGATTACAATTCCACATAAGTGTCCAATGATGCTAGTCTAGATAATAAATAAGTCAAATACATTAAGTACTCTTCCCGTCAATTGAATGTCATTAGGAGTTGTTGCCATATATATGTTTCGGTCCTTTCTAACAAAGAACGCCTTAATTTTAATTTCTTTGTATTAGAAAAGGCCGAAAGATATGTAGTGGTAACTCCTAAGAAAGTTCAGTTCAGTTCAGTTCAGTTCAGTACAGTTCAAGGAGGAATACTCATTTAGTTATGATTTAAAGGAGAGAAGTACATTTAAAATGGAAAAATTAAGGAACTTCTTGGGAGGGTCAAACGCTAACTAAAATTTATCTAATCATCCCCACCAACAATTTGATGACGTCCGCTCATTATATCGCTTGGTCAACCTTATCTAAACTTTATGAATTAATATACTTACGGTACTTGCGATATACATATTATTCAACCCAACTTTAGCCAATCCCCTCAACGAACCAATTTTCGGCCACGTTCTTAGATCTTACGAGTAAGTAAAATATGACCATTTAAGTGAAACCTGAGACATCCGGATGTTCGTATTAAGTGAAGCTCGCTAACTAGCAATACTGCAGCTTGTGGCAGATCAACTTTGCAAGAAAGTCAATAAATCGCACGTATATCAGCGAAATCCCAAATTGAGTGGTGAAAAGCCCGTAATATCTGTGAAAGCAAGTGGTAACTAAAGTGGATGTTATTTAGGAGCATCCATTAATCAAACGTATACCCATTAAGAGAGCTTCTGCAACAATATTTTTCCCTTAATCACCTGGGGTTTTTTAGGTTTGTCAGTTAGGGTAGTTAAGGCTATTTTGCAACGATTATTTGTAGTTTTTAGCCACTACACAGGCAGTATGTAAGAAGAGAATTAAGGCGAATCAATACATCAGCCTGCGATGTCGGCGCCATAAAAAATTGATTAACGAATTTGAAAGTTGGGTGAAAATTACAATTAAAAGGAAATGCGCTAAAGCATCAGATCTGTGATTAAACATCCAATAGTACCTTAATGCACTTACACAGGGATGAAGAAATTGAGAGGAACAATAATGTATAAAGTACATAAAGCGCTTTTGAAAAACAGACAAGATACTATTGCTGGAAATAATTTTATAGGCGTATAGACTTCGTAACGTTAAAAACTTGCGAATTTACTGAATTATCAAGTATCATGATAAGCCACAAGAGACTACAAAAATTTTAATATTTTAATTAAAAAGTCAAATCAGTACATTGTTTGTGTCAGTAAAATATCTCCTAGATATGACACATATAATTGGCCCAACATCTAGCTTATTAAAAACGGTCCGTAAATTCAACAACAAAGTCTTGTTCTCAGATCATTTTCAGAAACCAAAAATTCTTTAGTTAAACATCTTTTCTTTCAAACATAATGTTAAGTTAATGGTTTTTAAATAAATATAGGTCCAATAATATAAATCTTTCAATCCCATGTTAAAAAGCTCTGTGATCAATAAACATTGCAGACTTACTCCATATCGTACGTTTTTGCATATCGTGCCATAATTCCTACTTTCAGGTTTATTATCAACTACACAACGAAAAAAAAAAGAAAGAAAAAGCACAATCTCTCGCTCTTTTCCGATATATGACTGACGTCTATTAAGTATGAGATAGGGATGAATTCGATTTTTGCCCTCTAGCGCCCAAAGTTCTAGCTACGCCACTGCATCTACAACGAGAGCTTTTAAAAGCACACGTTAATGTGTGAACGGATCTCGTTCGAAGCCGGATGTCTCGCGGATTTTTGAATGTAAAAGTTTATGATATGGGAAAATATGATGAGATATGAAGCCTAGTGTGTGCGATATTAAATATTAAACCAGATATCCGAGCGCATTCCTCTTGAAAGCGTATCGCAATATCGGATGAGAGCAGCTCGTAACTCGGTTGTCTCGCCGGTAAGAAATCAATGTTGGCATAGTTGAAGTGGCACACCATTATCAGCGTACATTATTCGGAAAGCGAACTAGCGCGGCAACCACCTGAGTCCCTCGTTTAACAAACGATAAACCGACAATTAACCGGGCGGATTTTGCTGCAACATCCACATTACGACGCTACGAGAGGTTATCTGGAATTTCACAGAGGGCTGATGATGATGCAAAAAAACTGATGCCGACGTACTTACACCTGCTTGCAAAAGTATAGAGCTGAAATAGCGAAATTACACTAGGATCAGGATGGTTTCAACTAACTTACGTCAGAATTCAGTGTGCTGTTTGACACCGTCTAGAGTGTTTTCTGTAAGACTTAGGAAAGTGTGCGGCAACGTGAAATTTTGCATTAAAATCAAAGTTTGTGCCATTAATATTAAATTTACACAGTAAGCTTCTTACACAGTCTTCCTTTATACCTACTGAGTGTTTCTTTGTGAAGCGTAAATGTTACAAAATTGTGGAATTTTGTTTACCTGTTTTGTAGTAGATTAAAAATACATTATTATATATATTTTTTGAGGTACAAATCTTTCGGATTATACTTCAAAAGTTAACAAAACGTATTTGACCTATTGGGTAAAATGGAAAGACAAAAAAAAAAAATAATTAAATTTAAATTATTTGGCAAAGCTGCAAAATTAATATATATTTCTCTTGTACATATATGCATCTGAATTTCCCATTTGGTACAAGATACAAATATTACCTATATTAGTCATTAAAAAATAAATAATGAGATATTTTAAATTCAGTAGTGATAAACGTTAAAAATAATTTGTTCGTTTCAAATAAAATGCAGGTTTCTTTCAGTTTTTTACTTCCCGAGTGTAAGCTAAAGAAGTATAGTAATGGAGTCTATCGGGTGTCACCTTTATGTTTTCTCGACGTTTCATGACCCCCAGAGTACGAAAAAAGTGGTCTTCCGTTTCCGTCTGTCTGCTGTCTGTCTGAGATTTGTCTTTTCGTCTGTACATCCATATGTTAGAAATATTTTGAACAGATAAATTTCCTTAACTATCGAAAGTTTACGCATACTTTAACATTATAGTGGAGGCAGTAAATCTTTAAATAAAATTTGTCTATTCGTCTTTTCTAGAAA